ACAAAAAAACACACAGCTGAGTCAGTGTGAGAAAATTACCATTGTGAATACCACTAATGTACTGTTCTTCTTGACAAAAACAACTGTAGCCAGCAACAAAATTCTGAAATCAACTCATTTGTAAGGGCGACATGCACAAGGGAACAGATGAATTCCCCAGCACTAGTCCTTGCAACAAGTCCTTTAAAGTGTCTACAAGAGGGGATTGTTTGCAGGGACTAGCCCCTTAGTGTGTTTACATGCGGGGACTAATTGCACAGGAATATAGCAGAAACTAGGGACAAAAGGTACATGTAGCATTCTTTCACTCTGCAGCTTTGCAAAGTTAAACCAAAGCTATTTAATTAACAATGTAGCATTGAAATAAATCAGCACAATAAAACTGTATGTTGTTAACTTAATTATTTGGTGCTTGTTTTATTCTGATTTTGGGTTAACAGTTGTCATTTTGTTTTTAGTAAAATTCTATTAGAATTTTCCTGGTTGTAATACCCCAAGCTGCTTTTTCAACATCAACTTCATCTTCCTAATGCCAAGCCAGGCTGTAAGCCCCCTTCCAAAACAAAGTTCGTAGAAATTACGATGGGAACCTATCATAAGGATATGTGATTGGTTTAATTTTAACTAATTTGGTCACAGAGATTTCTCCCGCGAACAGTTCAACCAGTTTGAATTCATGGGATTTTTTTGGAAAATGGCTTGTCCACACAAAGTACCTTGTTGGACCCCCCACTTGTTGCAGGGACTTGTCCCCTCATGTGTGCTGACCTTTAGGTGGCAGGAACAATATTTTTTTGGCAGGTCAACACAACTCTGAATCCAGTGAAATTCAGGTCCTTGCAACAGACATGTGAAACTATAAATCAAAGCAACTTACATTTCTCAAACACACTGATATTTCATCAAGTTAAACAACAGAAATCGTAACCATAGCAGGGTTTGGATGTCTGGTCTTCATTAGCATACATGTAGATTATTATGATTTTACTTCTCTGTTTTCTCCTTAATGTTGATTGAGAAGGTATATATCAAACACTCATCTCTCTTGTTTTCAGAAAGACCAAAATAACAAACTCTCTTATTCAAAACTCGTACTCTGATTTGTTGATAAATTGTGGGTAGCCAAAGTTTGGTTGACCAGAAAAGACCTGTCATATTTATAACAAATTAAAGGTGTATAGTGCTAATATTATAAAAAATATATATATCTCAAAGCACATAACACAATGCTTATTCTAAGTGTTTATCACAGATATTTTTTATTAATTTGATGGAATCTACATGAGATCTTGATATGGAAACAGGAAAAATAGCTTTGTTTCTTCACCCGATTTAAGCATTCTTTGGAGTAGGCCTGGTGACTAGCCAGGCCGTGACTCCAAAACAAGAATGTAGGTCTGTACATCTTTCTAACCAAGCAAGTAAAAGTTACAAAAAAGTGAGTGAAATGTACCAGGAATTAGACACTCTTGCATAGAACTTTGTAACTTTGACCTAGAAATATGAGAGATAAAAGTAGTTGAGACACTTTTAGAAAATGAATCTTCTGGATGTCTCAACACTTTTGTCGCTCATCTTACATGTAGATTATTGTTTTCATGTCATATCCCTGACTTGTCCCAGGTCCCAAACCCTTGCAGTTTCTGCAAATTTCATGTTTTTCGAAGGCTAAGACGTAATGAAGAAAGGATGATAATCCTTTTTTCAATTACTATATCATGATCTCATGTAGAATCCATCATGCAAGTAAAAACATAGTTGTCACAAACACTTTTAAAGACTAAAAAAAAGTGCAATAAAAAATAAAAATGTTATAAAAGGTAAAAATATGAACAGTCGACAAATTTTATGTTTGCAAGTTGTCCTCAACATCAGTATAAAAACAGTAACATTCAGACTGGACTTTATAGATCTCCAGAGGAAGTTTGTTCCAAAGAAATGGCCCAGACTGGGCGAAGATGTGATCACCAAAGGTCTCATGACTGGTGTTAGGCTCAATGAGAAGGTCCTAGTCACAGGAGCACATTAGTGATGAGTTACAGTGGATTTGACTGGCAGGAAATATTTCTCTTAAGCTTTTTTCCCCTGCCAGTCATTGTAATCAGCAATGGTGTGCACTGTAAGTTCTATAACTAAATTTAAACCAGGACATGATCAGCAGAGTTGGATCCACAAAGGATGGCTAGTAAGTCTTACTGTTGCTAGGTCCTTCTGTGTTAATTTCTTCTCCATTCTTGATTGTTGAATGAGCTTTCCAACGTCAAGTGAGATTGTCTCATCTGCCAGAAGTAGTTAAAATCTAACTTAAATCTTATTCTCTAAACAGACCAGGAAATTAAAGTGAAAGTGAAGGATGATCATTGCAGTAAATTTTCCAATTTAAGCAATTGGAAAGAAGAAGCCTGAAAAAATCAGGGCTTCAACGGGATTTGAACCCGT